CTTCATTACGGCCTTTTTAAACTTTGCCTTTTTTGATCCAGACTTCACTGATACTAACTGTTACACACCTCCCTTGGTTGATGATTTTGCCAAAGCTATGCTATCCACCTGCTCTTCCATCTTAGATACTGTGGCCCCTATAAAGATGAAACGTCCCAGAACTTCTCATCAACCATGGCTAAATGACACTATACGAGCTTTATGTCGTGTCTGCCATCAATCTGAAAGGAAGTGGAAAAAAGACAGGCTTCAGATATCCTATGACATTCTTTGTAGGAGCCGCTTTCTCTACCAGAACTCAGTAAAAGCAGCTAAAGCAGCTTTCCTATCAGACATTATTGAGACTAATAGCCACAACCCCCGAATGTTATTCAAAATTTTTAATTCGGTGATAAATCCCTGTCCAGACTCTTCGAGCTCAGCCTCTCAGGCTCTCTGTGAGCAATTTCTTAATCATTTTAGTGGAAAAGTTTTATTACTGAAGGCTTCACACTCTCACTCTCTTGTGCTGAATCCTGTTCATGTCCACCTTTTCTCACTTTGAGGTGTTATCACTCCCCACTCTTAAGGGAATAATTGAACAATTGAGAAACTCAAATTCTGTGCACGATATCCTTCCATCCCGAATTATCAAGAAAGTTTTGAGGAAATTGGGCCTTGCATCTTATTTTTAATGAATTTATCATTGGTAGTGGGCTGTGTCCCGACTGCTTTAAAACATGCGGTAGTGCACCCCGTTCTTAAAAAAAGCAATTTTGATCAGAAAGACCCTGCCAATTATAGGCCAATCTCAAAACTTCAGTTTTTTTCAAAAATTTTAGAAAAAGCCATCTTTCTCCAAATACAGGCTTACTTAGTTGCAAATAATAAGGGATTGGATTTATATAGCGCTTTTCAAGGCACCCAAAGTGCTTTACAATGCCACTATTCATTCACTCACTGGTGGAGGCAAGCTACGGTTGTAGCCACAGCTGCCCTGGGGCAGACTGACAGAAGCGAGGCTGCCATCGGCCCCTCTGGGCAACACCAGTAGGCGGTAGGGTAAAGTGTCTTGCCCAAGGACACAACGACCAGGACAGAGAGCCCAGGGATCAAACCAGCAACCTTCTGGTTACAGATATGCTTCCCAACCCCCTGAGCCACGGTCGCCCCAAATAATATTACTGATAAATACCAGTCTGGCTTTAAGCCACACCATAGCACTGAAACGGCCCTGCTAAGAGTCTATAATGATCTTCTTGTATTTGCTGACTCTTTGCTGCCGTTTTAGTTTTATTGGATCTGTCTTCAGCCTTTGACATGGTTGATCATAATATTCTCTTGAGGAGGCTAGAGCATGTTGTAGGCATCAAGGGTTCTGCCCTTAACTGGTTTAATTCTTACCTCACTGATAGATCCTTCTCTGTTGTGATGGGAGGATACTCTTCCTCTGTTGCCCCTCTCTGTTGTGGTGTTCCCCAGGGGTCTGTATTGGGCCCTTTATTATTCTCTTTGTATATGCTACCCTTGGGCTCCATATTTGAAAAATACAATATTTCTTATCACTTTTACGCTGATGACATTCAAATCTATTGTCAACTGACTGATGATTTGGCAGCACCACTGAACTCCCTGTTCGATTGCCTGAGCGAGGTTAAAGATTGGCTGTCAGATAATTCTCTCGTTTTAAATGAGAAAAAAACTGAAGTTCTGGTGTTCTGGTGTTCGACAGCCATATTCCTTGAGAGACCAGCTTGTTGCCCTGCTGGGGCCCCTAGCTAACTCTCTCTGTGATTCTATGCGTAACCTGGGTGTCTATTTGTATAGCTCCTTTAAGCTCGATAAGCAAGTGTCATCTGTAGTTAAATCTGTTTTTTTTTCCAAGTGCGCCAGATTTCTAAAGCTAAGCATTATATACCACACGGGGACCTGGAAAAACGTATCCACGCTTTTGTGACCTCCAGGTTAGATTATTGTAATTCTCTCTACTGTGGTCTCCAGGCCTTCTCTCTTCGAAGACTGCAGCTCCTTCAGAATGCTGCGGCTCACCTTCTTACTGGAGCTAGAAAATTTGACCCTATTACTCCGGCTCTTGTTGATCTGCACTGGTTACCAATCAAATATCGCATTGAGTTTAAAATCTTGCTACTCACTTTTAAAATCCTGAATAACATTGCGCCCAGCTACCTCACTGACCTCCTCAATCTGTACACACTTGTCGTGCATTAAGATCATCAGGTCAATTACTCCTGGCCCAACCTAAGTTTGGACTGAAGACCAGAGGCGATCGTGCCTTCAGCTGCACCCAACCTTTGGAGCAGCCTCTCTGCTTCTATTCGAGCCTTGGACTCTATCCAATCCTTTAAATCAAGATTGAAAGCATATCTATTGGACTTGGCTTTCCTGACCAGTTAATACCCTTTTAAATTTTAAACTTTTAAATCTTTAAATCTTTTATTAAATTTATTATTTTATTACTAATTTTACTGCTGTTTTTGTCTTCTTAGTGGATTTTGTATTTATCTAACTCTCCTGGTCTGTTAGTGCCTCTATCCTGTCTGTGCTAGTGCCCGATCTGTACCCTGTTATTGACTTATGTTGATTCTCCATATTACTGTGAAGCACTTTGGTGTGCCTTTGGGTTTTTAAATGTGCTATATAAATAAAACTGTATTGTATTGTATTGTATAAAGGCCTGTTTTTGCTTATTTAGCTATCCAGAATAAGTGAGACTAGTAAGAAAGAGAGGAGTCTGCCCAGCAGTCTTGTTGTTGCTGTTATATTAAATGGATCAGGTTAAATTAATTTAACCTGGGTAATCTCATCAGTTGTCGTTGCTTCTTTGGCAATAAGGCCGTTCGTATTCTCCTCACGTAACCCCTCCCCTTTGAAGTCAAAGAGAGGAGAGCAAATCAGGAGTGAAAAAAAGAAAAGTTGAAGAAGAAAGAAAGAGAGCGGGCGACAGACTGAAAGACGCAGAGGAGAAAACACAGGCACAGAGAGATGCAGCGCTTCATGTCTTTAGTCTTAATGTTGACCTAATTAAATGTTGAGGGGGGCTGCGCGTTTCTTTTAGAGATACATATTTTTTTAATGACTAAAGCCATTTGCTCTGAGGGAAATTAATTGCAAATGCTTCCGTGAAAAAAGTGAGAGACATAAACCCTGAGAGAAACCTTCGGCTGTTTGTGTTCCAATTACTGTTTTTATCCCCCCCCCGAAAACATCTTTATGGCTTCTTTCATGCTTTATCGTTTTATAAAGAATGATGATCAAGATGGTTACACAGCAAAAAGTCAAAACAAACAATCTTCCTTTAGTTTGAATATCTTAAAATAATCCAAGTGACCAACACTTGCTGAGTTTGTGATTTCCTTGCAGTGACACTGACAGTGGGTTTGGCCAAAGACAGCAGTATGTAAATGTAAATTCTCAGTCATGTGCCAACACAAAGAAATGCAGCCAGCAGAGTAAAGACGTAACAGAGTCAGTCTGATCAAAACTGATTAAAAATACACAAAGACAGAGAAATGATTAGATGGCATTAGATTTTAATACCATCTAATCAGAAATGGCCAACCCACCGCCTCCAGCCTGTGCCCTTTACTTGGAGTCTATGAAACATAATCTTCATTCATACGAGTGTTAATTTTCTTTAAAAAAAACCTCTACTTAAGGCTTTTCAATTTGGTTGAAAGTGATTGAAGGGGAATAGACGCACCGCCGCATGACACTCTCCAGACCCTCGTGTAGCTCTGACTTATCAGACTGCAGATGGCAGGATACTCCCTCAATAGCGAGAGGGAGACAAGAATGAGTGAGCCATGGCTTCCGCCGTTACTGGAGCTGGAGCATTCACTCTATAAATGATGGACATAACTTCTGAATTGTAAAGCTAATGTGAAGTGCCTTAAACCTCTGTTCCTTCTTGCATCCCGTCCAGGTGAAGACTTCTGATAGTAACAAGAAGGCTGCAGAAAAAAACCCCCAAACCCTTCCTGGTGACTTTATAGTCTCAGTCACTAGTTTAAAGTGTGGCAGAGTTCAATTTAAGATTTTTATTTTGTAATTAACCGTCTTCATTGGAGAGGAAAGGACCGTAAAGCTGGGTATGCCCACCATCGGGGTGTGATGGATCCGACCTCCACTAACGGTTTCAAAACACCAAGACGAAACGGCTCGAGGCGTCTCAACGGGACAATGCTAACCAATGGGTTACAGTTTATAGGCTTAGCTAACTGATGACACAGCTCAGGACCAATCACGGTCCTCCACCACAGCAATGTCTGACTCAGCGGGTTGTGGATGAGAAAAGTCGTCCACTTCTGTGACAGATGGTTTAAGGTTCTGTGTTACTCTGTATTTTTCCTATGCCCCGAGGACCGCTGAGGTACTCCCGCCTCAAACATCCACATACCCTCCTCAACTCTTACAACTTTTCAAAATGATGGTGCGGGTAATGTTCAGCTCAGAGCTACAGAGAATTAATGTCTTTCATTTAACATTTGCAGAGGCTCTTCTCAACATTATTATTACCAAAGTGTTTAAATTTATTAGTAGCAGTGAACTCAGAATTTGATGGTGAAATGTTCCTTGAACCTAATTTCTTATATCCAGAGGCAGAGAAAATCAGGATGTTGGAAATGTTGTTTTCAGCTTTTAAAAATATGTGAAGACTTTGACCAAACATGTTATGACCAAATGAGGACACCACAAACAAAAGCAATTAATAAAAATTAAGATCATGAAGTACAAACAGACCTACTGTGTCATGGCTACGTTTCTGCGACTGTGCTCGTGTGCATCTTACATGTGCAACAATACCATCTGTCTGTCACACTGTCTGTGTTGAAATGATGACTTTGCTCCTCATATTTTACTTTTTTGTATCATATTTAGTGTTTGATATCCTTGAAAATAATGAAGAAAACCTTGTGAAGGATTTTAGGACAGTTTTTTGGACCAAAAAGTTTCCATTCGTCAGATTCAACATCAACACCGAACCTTCACACTGGACTCACCGTGATGAGGAGTTTCTTCTCCTCCTCTTTCTCTTGCTGGGCTTCCTCTCTCATCACCTGGTGTTTCTCCTCGAGCTCCTCCAACGCTCTGACCTGCGCCTCCTTGAAGCGAAGTGTCTCCTCCTCATAGTGCGCTCTCAACCTGGAGAGCTCCTTCTCATAGCCCTGGTGTTCCTCGCGCAGAGACTGAGGACAAGAGGCAGATTAGAGGAAGTAAAAAGGCTTTTTGTGACAGACAAAGAAAGGATAAAAAAAAGTACCTGTTCCAGTTTGAGCACTTGTTGTTTGTGCTGGTCGTTGGCGGTCTGGCTCTGGCTGAGCAGAACCTCCCTCTCCTCCTCCAGCCTGCTGATCTTCTCCTTGAGGCGGCTCTGCTCCTGGTCCAAGTTCCTGATGGTCGCCTCGTGGGCCATCTGGGTTGCCTGCAAGGAGCCGATCTGACCTGAAAGCAGTCAAATTGAAATCATGTGTGTGTGTTAAAGAGGCTCTACAATCAGGAATCTGAGCTAACGTTTAAACTAGATGTTTGTTATTGTTATTGCTGTTTGAACGAAGAAGTGGCCTCTGCAGCAGAGTTATTAAACAGGAAGTCGGCAGTCTGCTAATTTAAAATATCAGCTGCTTGTAAAACTTGGTGGGAAAAACTTTAAATAACAAACAAGAAAAACAGTGTGGTGCAACAGTGTGGTTAGCTGAGCAGCCAGAGGGAAAGCAGATGTTCTAAAAAGAAAAGCAGTCAAAGGAAAAGATGTGGGATGAGTTTATTCAGACTATTTATGACATAAAAGCTCAATTTCAATCTAGTAATCATAGGAGAGCTTTAAAGTTTCTATAGACGCTTCTGTAGAGATCACACAGTATAAGGCGTGAGCACAGGCACCATGACACGCAGACACCCCTTGGCTTGAGCCCTGTATCACTAACCAACCTGGACCTTACGAGACATGAGCTGTTTTTCCCTTCATAATACAAAAATGCTCCGCTGCACCGATGCTGGAGGGAAAAAAATTATCCATGCACATACATTTCCTCAAGGTGCAAAAAACTGTGTTTCAACCATTCGTTTGTGGCAGCTGGACAAAATAAAACTTTGCCCTCCACGAAATGGTTTGTTCTATTTTTGGAGCCCGGCACCCCGCTGTCGCACTCTCTGCGTGATATCCTCACAAACAGGCGTTGACCGTGACTGCTAAAGCTGCACACAAACTCCCTGCAGTCATATTGCCAACTACACTTTAATCAATTGGGTGTCTAAACCGCTTTGTAAATCAGTCAACATATTCTATTCGTGGTGCATTCAGGTGCACCATGTAAACTCGTAAATCTACAGCTGAACGGCTATGAATGTTGTTCAAACTAAAAGAAAAATCTTTACATGAATTTGAGTCCAGTTAACAGCAGAGTTTTTCAGTGTGTCTGAGGATTTTGAATGTTGTTTTACTCCAACGGTTTTGATAAAATTACAACAAATTATAATGCATTTGTTTCTACGCAGACACGTTTTGACTGCTGAATTTAAATCATGTCATTAGCAAACTTTATTGCACGGGTTACAGAGGTCTACGAAAAGGCTAAAAGCCACACGTAGCCACGAATGGACCAATTAGAATAAATGGAAATACCTCATCAAATTTTAAACATACAAGCCGAGATTTACAACATCGGTTAATTAAGCATGAGGAGCTCTGCTGGACTCGCAAATTTAGCTGAAATTTGCAAGCGACGATCAATTATAAAACACGTTGTGAAACATCGCTTTCGTTTGCAGCAGTGTTTGAGGATTTCTTTTGCAAATTGGGGAACATGAAACACAATCGTGAGAATAAGGATGACAAATAGCAGACTTCCTCTTTAATGGATGTGTGAAACATCTGCACACAGCACTGCACTGTGGTGAACGCCAGCAGTCAAATCTTACTGGCTTTGTGCAGGATTTCAGTAGCCTGCTGCTGAACTCGTTCCCTGCTGCTCTCTAGTTCATACTCGGTGTCCTTTAGCTGCATCACCCAGATCTCTCCGTCCTGGATTGCCTCTTCCAGCTGCTTGTGAAGGTTCTGCAGCACGCACAGAAACACACACACGCACGCTCAGCTATGTTACAACAATACAACGTTTGGCATTTTAAAACCTCAGCTCAGACTCTCCAGCTACTTCCAAACAGATCTGCCTGCAGGACCATCAGTGCACACTACATTTCCCACCACCTTAAGATTCTTAAAAACACTCTCCACCCCGAGGCTTTCTGTTTCCAGAAAACATTTTCCATTCAATTTATCCCACTTTGTACTTAAAACTGAAGCAAAGAAAAACTCTTCATATTATTTGTACTATTTTGGGAAATCCTGCAAACAGATGAATGATAAAACCAGCAGTAGCGGCATTAGTACATACTGCTACATTATTTTTCTGTCATTACAAAAACATCAAGGGAATCTGGACCAGAGGGTTTTCATTGTTTTGTCTTATTCATTTGATTTGACAATAAAACATGGTGTTCAGCCACTCGTACCCCACACACCTTGATGGTTCCCTCTGCGTTGGCCAGTGACGTCTGCAGTCTGTTGGTCTTGTCGCGGTTCTCTCTGGCCTCCTCCTGAGCTTTCTGAAGCTCACTCCTCAGCTTGGACAGTGAACGCTGCAATGCCACTTCCTGCGCCTGGAACTCCTTACGAAGCTCGACCTTCACGAGGACACAGAATTAAATTAGTCACTCTGACACAAGAACACAACGCTTATAGCCAGCAACACCTGCCTGTGTGAGTTAAAAGGAGACGACACAAGCAACCTTGAGAGGTGCATTGAGATAAATGAGGCTTTCTTTAAGGCGGTGTCTCAAAAACTGCTACTCATGTATCAATAACACGCAAGTCCACCACCACTGACAAAGACGCAATAAAAGCTGGACTAATTAATCCATATTTTAATATAAACAGTAGATCAAACGCCTGTATGTAACGTAAAAGGTGTGAGTAATTACCTCAGGCTTCTTTTCAAATACAGTTTTGGCTTTCAGGGCTTTAATTAACCTCGTTTCAAGCAGCAGCAGGGAGCAATAAACCATGAATAAACCCAACCCACCTGCCCAACAGCAAACACAAAGTTGGCAAGTAAGCTCGCAAAGACATACTCACATCAACACACTGGAGTCATGTAAGCTTAAACGTGTTTGGTAATCAAACAGAAACATGACTTCTAATGAACGTAGATCTACTAAAGGCAAAAACGGGGAACTGTTTGCTAACAATAACACATTCAAAAACACATTCCCATGAAAAATGTATGTAAACTATCAGCATTGTGTTTGAAGTGAGTAAACCAACCAACTAATGCTGCTTTTAGATTCTTAATGTTAGGTAATCCTTTAATGGTGAGTTTGTGTGTGTTCACAAAGGCATACTGTGCTTCCCTAAATTAACAAAAGTTATTCAGAGGTCATTTTCTCTAGGTCAGTGTTTCCCAACAACTGTGCCGAGGTGTCATAGTGAGAAATGATCAGGTGTGCTGTGGAAAATTATCTGGTTTCACCTGATTAGTACTCTAAGCGAGCGGTCCCCAACCACTGGGCCACGGACCGGTACCGGCATGGGAAACAGGCAGAACAATTACATTCTCTTCCACTAGAGTGCAGTACAACGTTTTGCCCCAATTAAATGGGTTGCCAACGTCCAGTAAAACAGAAGATGAAGAAGAAATTATATAGCCATGCTGTGAGTGAGACAACGCAGCGTGTATTAGAAATAGATAAATATTTGACAAGAAAAAGTAGTCAATCTGACCTGGGTCCCGGGGAACATTTCAACCCAGATGAAGGCCCTAGCGTGAGTAGTGGTCACAAGAAAGCAAAAAAGGTACACTGAGGACAAACCGAGCCGATTGCTATACCCGGTGCGCGGGGAAAACTGCATTTTAGTTTGGTGGTGTGCCGTGTGATTTTTCTAATGTGAAATATAATAATATATACGCGCTGGCTCCAAAAGTTGGGAGAGACTGCTCTAGGCAGCTTGAGAAAAATAGCAGCGAATATGTACCAAATAATGAGCAAGAAAAAAAATCAAAACAAAAACACCATCATGGCGTCGGTCGTGTAAGTGTGCGAGTGAGCTAATCACAAAAGTACATCTACAAGACAACAATATCACCCTGCTGTTTTCAACAGCTGCTCTTATGTTTGATTTATTAACTTTAACACCATCTGCCTGTTCTTACATATGGTATTTACAATTAAAATCATATTAAGCAATGACGAGAAATGCATTCAGGAGGTGCTGATTTTGTATTAACAGACCCAAAAATGAAGCTGTTCCTGCAGCGGAAACTGTACTAATGCAACATATTATACTTAACAAACAGAGGGAATTAGAAAAGGTCTCACATCTAATATAAAACTGTTTCAATAAAGGGCTTCTACCTACTAAAATTGAGAGAAATAAAGCCCTCGGCACTATTTGACGGCTTTATTCTAGACCAATTTCTTGACTTTTTTCAAGAATTTTATACAAGCCTGTTTGTTTCAACACATTTTATTGCCTGTAGCTGTACTGCAACGGAATAATTGTCTTAAGACACACAACACCTGTTAATAAAGAGAGCACTGTGTCTCTCTCAGGAACATAAACAGCTACAGGCCTGATACAGAACAACATGTTTCGGACTCTGTTTAATAAAGCGGTACAGTACTCCTAACAAATGAAAACAAATTAAATGCCTGAGTTTAGTACTTAAAATGTGGTTTCTGCTTTTCTTCTTCTCTGTCATAAAAAGGAGAGGAATAAGCTTTTACCTCCGTCCTCTTCCAGGCCAGCAGGTTCTCAGTGGTGAGCTGGTGTGTTCTCCTCATGGCCTCCAGCTCTCTCTCATAATACTCCTGAGCCTTGGCCAGCTTGGCCTCATACTCCTCCACCAGGCGGACCTTATCCTTTGTTAGCTCCTCCACCCTCTCCATCAATGCCTCCACCTACGCCAAGAGATGGATAAACAGAGAGCTTGTCAAGACACATTCCAAAATCCTTTTTTAAAAACAACAAGTCTTGAATAGATCAAGCCCCTAAACCACATTATGTTTAGTCTTAAGTTAGTTTTAAGTCTTTTTATTGTTGAGAGAAAAGAAAAATGGGAGAAAAATAAGAAAATGACATGCAACAAATCTCTATAGCCAAATTATTATCACTCCGGGTTTATATTGTGCTCATAAGCTAACTGCACTACAACACACTACATCCTTTCATTTCATTGATAAGCCTTAAAAAACAGCAGTTACCCTCGAAAGAAACTTGCTTTATCAACTTTCTACAAAAATCCCAACATGCATCACTCCGATCCAAACCTCATCTATCTCCCTCGCTCAATCGAGCTCCGCCCACCTCTTGTCTATGAAGCTCAGCCAGCTTCTCCTGGTCTTCTGTGGAGGAGGCGCTTTGGTTCCGCTGGTTGTTGAGGAGCTCCTCCACCTCCTGGCGGTGGGTGGTCCTCAGCTCCTCCAGCGCTCGCCGCTTCTCAGCCTCAAACTGTGCCTGAGCCTGGCTGAACGAGCGCAGCTTCTCCTCAAAATCCCGACGCATCTCCTCCACCTATTGAAACCACGGAATATGTTCTATTCTGTTTTTGTGTTACTGCTAGCCCAGTCGCTAATGGTGTCACGCTAACTGATCGCAGCATCGCCTCAAAATCCTCCCGTAACAATGAGGGAGGCACAAAACATTCAGTTCTAGCATCTTAAGCCTTTCAGCACTTGTCTGTTATTACCAAAATAAAAGCTTGAATCTTCTCTATGTACACCTCTAAGCAGAGCAAAGTGTTCTTTGCAGCGCAAGATCTGAAACAGTTCAAAAGAAAATGTAGAAACATGTAGCGTGTGATGAGATGTCATATGTCATGTAATGCGAACTGTTAGTGCTGGTAAAGATCTTTTTGTTCAAGCTGGAAGCAGACACTGTGAAAGCATTTAAAGTCCAAAGATAACACACAACAATCCAAATGTAAGAGATAAAGAGCTGAGTTTATTTACCCACCAGCTCTTTACATCTAAGTAGGGCTGAGATGTTCCTTTGTGCCCACATTCATCAGTGCATATGAAACTGTGTCACATGATCGTATGACATGACAGATGACATGATACATGTAACAATATTAGATTAATATCTATTTTTTTAATTGAATAACTGTACAGTACTCTGTTTATAGTAACCACTGTCCTTAATGTAAATATGTAAGAAGAATTGTGTATGTTTCTGTTCTGTGTACTGTTTGTTGTATATGTGTCTTTCTGGCTGCTGTTACAACAAATTTCCCCTTGTGGGACAATTAAAGGATTATTCTATCTTCTATCTATCTTATTGTAGCATAACATAATCTGTGCAATACTGAAGTAACAGCAGACTATAACAAGTAGAAATCATACTTCCTTATAATGAAGTGAACACTTACTGTATAAATAAGCAATCTACCGCCTTCTCCTAATCAAACGTGCCAAGTAGCACTTCATTCTGAGTGTAATTTTAATTTTGGGAGCGAGGTGCGTACAAAAGAAGAGTGCAGCAGTGAAGAGCGCGTTTGTGGCACTAAAAGTTAAATTCGTATTCATTATCAGCATATGCCAGTAACGATTATGACATCCCCCCTGCTGTGTGCAGCTCGTAAACAGCTTACCACTCGTGTGTCACTGGCAGATGCTCCTGCCCATGTGACTGGTGTGTCACCCTTGTTTTAGTGTCATATGCTGGATTACTAAAAACATGTTGCTGCTACTCTACAAGCATAACTGTGTGTGTGTGTGTATCTGTCTGTATGTAAGACATAATATTTTGTCAGTAAAAGATAGCCTTATGTATGTAATGTACACTGTCAGTATTTCCTTTGTTCAATTGTTATTTCTACACTGTACCACCAGAGACACCGACAGGCAGATCCAGTCTCCTAGTATGCGTGACATGCATCTGATTTTTCTGATCTAAGAGAGGAGTTCATACCTATCCCCTCCAACTCATCATTTCTGACTGCTAGTACCACATGTTAAATTAAAATAGTGAAACTGGTAGCGCTAAATGACACAGAGGTTGTGGGTGTTCCACGCTGTCTGCACAGATTACCTGGTGGGAGGCAACCTGTCTCCAAACAATCACGGTCTGACTCAGACTGACTGCAATCACTCTCAGATGATGAAGGTTTGCAAATAATTGCTGTCTAATTTAAAAATAAGCACAGCCAGCATGTCTTTCTATGCTGATGACTGCAGCCTGTCTGCAACTCGTCTCTCTGCAGTCGGGGACTAAACTCAGCTGGGTGCCATGTCCCTCAGCTACTATATGTGGAGAAATTTCTGCTTCAGATCTGTGAGATTCTGGCTGAACTGTGGATGTAAGGAGTTAATGTGAACTTCTGTGTGTTTGGACAGCAAAATATTTAAAACAGATGCCAACAGATTTGTCTCAGTCAATCACAAACAGATTACACATAATTGCCAACTTGACTCCATTTAATTGCAAACTGACTGCAGACTTTTATGACTGTCTTGATGCACTGAAGTTGCTTTAAAGATGGCAGCTAACTGCAAGTGGTCACAAACGGGCTCCCAGTTTTAAAAGTTATAATTATTTTTCCAATACATCTTTTTCAGGTCACACCACAGTCTCCACCGGCTGTTTTCCCAAATGTGGCTGTAGCATTACACAGTACATATTAAATTAGGGCCATAAGTATTTGGACAATGATATAAAAAAAAATCTATTTTCAATCAAGACGTGACTGAAGCACACACCTTCAGAATTAATTCGGTGGGCTTCATTATTGTAGATTTTTAAATTATTTTGATGCCGTCGTTACAGCCTGATGACAGCGAGCGTCCTTTACCTGCATCAACATCTAATTGATGTCAATTTAAGTTGTCTTTCAGTTTATAAATTAAACAATAATATAACATATTTGATCAATTTTATCATATGTGCCAGTTATAACCTATTAAGGTATAAAGTCTGTGGTGTGAAGTAGTATTACTCACTAATGCTTGTATCAGTCTTGTTTGATTGATTAATCTGCATTCAGCACAAATAAACCATTCCTGTTGTGCATTTAGAGCATAACACACTTTACATTTTTACAATTACAGCCCAAATACAAAAACATTGGGATGCTGTGTGATATGTAATTAAACACACAAGGAAAAGATTTGCAAATATAATAAACTCATCTTTTGTTCAAAATAGAAAACAGAAGAGAAACTGCAAAAGGATTTTTATATCCAGTACATGACATCATCACAAGATTCCAAGGATCTGGAGAAATCTCCAATGTCCAAAAATCAATACTGGATGCCCGCGATCATCAGGCCCTCGGGCAGCATGCATTAAAAGCAGACGTGATTCTGTCATGGAAATCACTGCATGGACTCAGGAACACTCCCACTGTTCACTGTGCCACCCGGTTAAAGCTCTATATGCAAAGAAGAAGCCATATGTTAACATGATCCTGGAGCGCTATCGTCCCCTGGGCGCTGATCCTCTGAGCAAACGGTCTAAAGTGGACTGAGGCGAGTTGAAAAACTGTTCTGTGGTCAGAAGAATTCACATCTGAAAAAGTGGATTCTTTATCCTCAAGGAGAAATGAACTATTTGCACTCAGGCCAAAACTCTCTTATGTCTTAAGGTGTAAGTGGATAGGTGCCTCGGGGACTGGCAGTTTGCACATCTGGAAGGGCACCAGCAATGCTGAAAGTTATATACAGATTTAGAGCAACATATGCTCCCATCTTTTTCAGGTAAGACCTTGCATGTGAAACATTTGGAGTATCATGAAGCAAAAAAAATGACAACAAGAATCACATACAGTCAGCATCTTCTCACTAAGTTTTGCATGTTCTGCATGTGTATGTGTGATTACATTTACATTTTACACAGCATCCCAACACCTTTCATAATTGGGTTCATGCATGAAAGTTAACAATCAGGTATTACTTTTGTTATGAGCCCAACCTTACCTCTCTGCTCATAGAAACCACCCTCTGCGTGTGCTGGGCCTCTGTGCACAGCTGCGAGTCCTCCATCCTCTGTCTGTACATCTCGAACTCTGCTAGAGCCTGAAGACAACAAGCACAACAGTGTTACATAAAGACAAATATGGAAACATACAACTGCAATATAACACACCCACTCCTGTATTATATGTTAAGTTGATACTATCCAGTTTTTTACACCTAAATAATCCATATTAAAAGGCTACAACATTAAAACATACTATTGCTTAAAGATGACAACGTAGGAATATGTGAAGCAATACACAAACTAAGAAAGCCTGGCTCGATACAACCAAACTAAATGAAGCCACGTGGTGCCCGGCAGCGCTGAATGACCTGTCTCTTCATGTGTTCGTGGAGCTCTACAGATTCCTCCAGACTGGCAAGCCGCCGCCTCAGATCCACCTCGTCCGCCATTTTAGTCTTGTACTGCATGATCTTGTCTCTGGTTTCTGTCACAATGTGTTGGACCTGAGCAAGAGGAAAGAAAGCAGCCAGTGCTTTAAAACAGAACAGAACTTAAATTTAAAACAGAATTTAAAACAAAGTTCAGCTCAGGTTTAGGCAATTACGATTAAGATGATTATGAGCAAGATTAAAACTTTTTTGTTCTTTTCCAAAGTGGAAAAATATCATAAATTTACAACCAGAGTAGCAGGAAATAAGACCTGAGGAGAAATATGTGAAAATAAATAAGAAAAAGGTGCCAGCACAACACCGTGGACTCCAAGAAATGTTGGCAGGGGGAGAAAACTCTCACTTTAAAAATTTAACACTTGAAAGAAACACTCATTTAATTAACAATCTTGCAGACTACAGTGCACAAGAGCTTCCCTCTAAAAGAAATACCAGTGAAATTAAGTAGGTTTAAACCACTTTTGTAAAGGCCAAGTTCACGTCCTCAAATAAACTCTGCCCACCACTGAATATAATGGGTTTTGATTTGGTGCCAGACTTGTTCTGTGTCTTTGAAACCAGTTCAGAAAATCGTAACATTTAGAACATAAGGCAGCTGGTAGTAAACATCCACACCGCTTACACTGAATCAGCTGAACCCTTTGAATTAAGTGGACAATCTGGGGGAACTCTGCTGTGCTGTGCTTCTGTTATGTTCTTGTATGTGAGGTTGGGATAAAAAGTACTGGTGATGTGATTAATCACGTGATTTCACAATACCTGTGGCACATTACGGCTGAACACATTACGAAGAAACCCAATAAATGTGGATGTTTCTATAGACATCAGGGAACAGGGAGTGTAAAATATGACTTCTTCACAGATTTGACCCAGATTAATACCTCTGGGAGATTTTTGGAGTCAAGTGTTTAACAGTGAGCATCATCAGCCCTTAGAAAGCTATACCACAAACCACTGGAAACATCTGTACCTGCCATGGTGATTTAGCTGTTAAGCGAATTAATCAGCTGAGAAGTCAGAACTTTGCATCTGGAAACAGCTGTGGGTAACAGATGCTCTTAAGATTTAAGTTCATCTTTAGTTTAACTTTCCTAATCACCCCTCAGTCAAATTAAACCCTTTCTGCAGTGCTGACCTGCTCGCTGCAGGAGGGCGGCAGACAGCAAAACCATGGTTAGCCTTGATAACAAAACTGCAGTTTGCCACTGAATTTGCTCCTCTCCTCTCCAGTGACTAAAATACCAAACAGAAGATGGGGAAACCTCACTAAGGAGAATTCTGCTTCACCACACTTTTATAATGTAAATGAAATAACACCATTTAAACACACTTTCATTCCCACAGCAGTTTGACACCACAAAAGTGACAAACCACACGGCTGTTTATCAATCACAGAGTATTTTCCACCACATAATAACAGGGTGTTCGGTGTCTGTACCTCGTCCTCGTGAGCTTCTTTCAGGGACTCGATTTCTTCTTCGTGCTCATCGTTCTTGGTGTTGAGAGCATAAATTACCTGGAGAAATGAGCAGAATTAGATCACAGAAAGAAAATGGTAAATGGCCTGTATTTGTATAGCGCTTTACACAACCAGTCATCCACCCATTCACACACTGGTGATGGCAGTTACATTGTAGCCACAGCCACCCTGGGGCGCACTGACAGAGGCGAGGCTACCGGACACTGGCGCCACCGGGCCCTCTGACCACCACCAGTAGGCAACGGGTGAAGTGTCTTGCCCAAGGACACAACGACCGAGACTGTCCAAGCCGGGGCTCGAACCGGCAACCTTCCAATTACAAGGCGAACTCCCAACTCTTGAGCCAGAAGACAGGAAAGAAAGCTCTTATTAACTGTTTCAATATCAGATCAATAGAAGTGAAGACTAAGCTCAGCTCTGCATCGAGAGTGCAACAAAATCAATACCAACAGCATCAGGAAAGGAGAGAATTATGTTTCGTGTTCTGATTAAAGACAGTCACACACTGAGCCAGGACTACGCTACACACAAAACACAACAAAAGTCCCACAAAGGGAGGTGGGGGGGCGAGGGGTCGGGTGTTCGATAATAAATTTGGTGCAAAGGAGATAAGTGAACATTTCACAGTAAGCACAGACATTCCTGTGGTCACAGGAAAGCCCTCTACTGGTTGCTGCACATTGCACAAGCCTAAGTGAATAACATCTCGTCAGTCATGCTTGCTCTCTCTCTACCAGGAATATAAGTAGGTTTTTCAAGTGCTGGAGGTAAATGATATGCAAAAAAAAGAAAAAAGCTTAAGCTTCAGCAAATTGAAGCCTGCAGGGAGAGCAGCTAATATTCAGTCACGGTCAGCTGAATTACAGCCCCGTTGGCATCGAGACGTACGGGTCCACCTTTTGCTCCATTTACAGGTGAGAGGAAAAGGTTACATACAAATCTACAGCAAGAAGTGGGCATAAAGGTATAGTGGTGGGGGATATTTATCCTTTATGGGCAACACTGCTGACGTTTTAAAGACCACTGGGATCAACAATTGAGTAATCATCACTGCAGGGTATTTGCAACTTTATTAAACTTCCCTGTACTCAGCAAGAAATACTAAAACCACTGCTGTGATACATACTGTATCACAGCAACTCAATATAACAGCTGTTTAATATTCTATATTACACTTGATCTCCTAGTGCCTTTAAAAGCAGCATTATTTTGATTTTTCAAACTTGCCGTCTAAAGTATATACACTGAATGTGTTGCATCCTCAAAAATGCACTGTGAAGAAAAAATAAGTTGACATGGGACCACGTGGGAGGCAGAGAAATCATTTCAGTGAGCCAGCTGACCTGGAGCAACATCTAGCTGCGTGTCTGAGGTAAAATAGGATAATTGTACCTCATTGTATTTTCAGTACCGGTGAGTGTTTTAAGCTACAAGCACACTTGTTGCCAAATGTAGTGGTCTGATTGTACTGGTGAAGATTGTCATTTCCACAACACTGCCCCCCCCCTCGAGGTCCGCAGCGCTGTTGAAAAGGCTCACAAAAATCACCAAACTGAGACACCACAGACTGTTTTCCTTCCTGGTGATGAAGGAAAACGCTGGGCTGGCATGTAAAAGGACATTTATTCCCTTCAAGGACCTGAAGCTCCATAAAGCACCCCTCCAATAGCCAAACCCATCTGTTCTCTGATTGGATAGATAAATTTGTGATTGACATGACATTGGCCAATCAGATGAAAGGAAGAAAAGTAGGATCAAAATTCGTACTTGAAGCTTGAAAGTTGAGTGCAGAGTTTCACACGTATTTTTTGGCTAAGTCCACACACAAACCTTTTTTACACACACAAAACTGATTTACAGGTACAAAATATTTATGACCACAATTTGAGCCCATATAAATGCAATTTGCAGCTGAGACTTTGAGCTGCACTACAAAATGGTTGACTCGCCATAGTGCGAAGGGGTGGACCCACACTTGCAGCCGAGGAATTGCAAAATAAAACAAAAAGCCTTGAATCTGAATTAATCTGAAATAAAATGAAATTAAAAGAATTGATTTCTCTTCCCTTTAACCACTGCCTGGTATCCTTTACAACTGTATTCTAAAAGAGTGACATACCATCTGCTCATTTGTGTTTTTCCACTTTACAACAATCCCGCCTGAATGTTTTTATTGGTGCTAAACTGAAATTTTGTCATTGGTTATTTTATGTTTTTAAGGTGGGAGCAAAATCAGTGAGAGGAAGGTGGATTTCAACCCTCCACTCTCTTTGAGAATGAGCCTTGATTCCCAGCAGTAAGTCTGCCGTGGAACTGTTCCTTCAATTATACATGATTATTTTAATGACGCTGCTGTGCCTGCTGCTTTCATCTCCTTCTTTCCCTCCTCTCTCTTTGCTCCCATCCTTTCATCTCCCTTTTTTGTTCTTTATCTCTCCTCCTCTCTTCTCTCCCTTCTCTCTTACACTTTCTTCTTTGTCTCGCCATCTCGCAGGGATGAAGATACCTAACATCTCTATTTGTATCTATGGTATAAAAGTGAGACTTGAGTTCCATAAATAATTTCTCACGGAGCAATTGTGTCAAAGTAACCCAGCTGGAAAGGAAATTCTGCTGTGATTAACCACTGATAAAACCTTACTTGGTAATTAGATAGTGTTATTGACTTGGACTGTTAATGAGTGATGAATTTACTGATGAAAAAGAAAAGTCAACAAAGCTTTTCAGCTACATAAATCATTTAGCAAAGCTGTCAAACACTCTCTGATTACGGCTTTTCAGATTTAATGATTTGCAGCTTTTCAATGTTTGGTGTCACCATGAAATAGATGACAGTGTTTCCTACTCATAGACTTTATTTGGGAGTGCTGCCCAGGTGTATTAACTGTGGGAAAAGTATAATTGGCCACTCAAGGAGGCTTGGAAGATACTGCTCAGCTGACAAATGGAATTAGGATAAGCAGAAGAAGATGGATGGATGATGGATGGATGGATGGATGATGGATGGATGGATGGATGGATGATGGATGGATGGATACTTCTAACCAACTAGCCCCAGCCCATCTTCTATTTTCCTATCAGCAGATGTATCAGGTCGCTGTTGTGGCAGCCCTCGATATCATTCAGCTGCCCCTCTAGAGAGGCTCTTCTTCTGTTGTAGACTCTTCTCGAACTACTGTGGTGATGACAGTTCTTGCTCAGCTCTTAAGACACTCTGTGAACTGGATGGCTACTCTAACAGGGGATTTATACTTAAATACTTAAACTTAGACCGCATACCTTTCTGAAACCCTCTACCATAACATATGCCATAATCTGACTTAAAGCTACCTAAAAATGTAACTGCACATGATGATGTGCAGGTATAAATGCTGGCAACGGTGGCTGCTACTTGTGTAGACTACACCTTAGTATAAATTAGGTGTAAAAAGAGCCTGTGACAGGTGGCTGGATGGATGGTTACGGATAAGATGGCGCCGAGTATGGCAGCCTCGTCATGAGCTCCCCCAAGCAACAGCTGTTTTCTGTGTTTACTTTTACTTTATTTATTTTTTTGCACAACTCTGTTGCTTGTGAAGCTCGCACACAAGAATTTCACTCGCATGTACTGTACCAGTGTACCTGCACATGTGATGTGACAATAAAAGTGATTTGATTTGATTTGAGGTAGAGAGGTTGTTAACAAGCTGCTATGTTGAGCTCAGTGAGGCTGCAGAACAGAGCAACGACTACTGCACTTACCTGCTGTCCATGAAAGTGGAGTTAGAGCTCATCTACAAGACAAGAATCTTACTGAAGAGGCAGCTGCACATATCGGCCATTAATTTATTGGTCACACAGTACACTGGGAAACACTGATAAAAAATTATTTTGGTTTTGAGGTTAGCCAGCGAACATTACCAATAAGAAGACAGTCTGTGATGAGCTTTGTAGCATTTTCTGCGATTATAGGATGTATTTATTCAGTGCAACATCTTTGAGACATCCAGCCAGAATTAAAAGAAAGCTTCAATTTACACAAGCGTTTCTAAATGTGAGAGTGGATTAAAAAATATGTAAAACTGTCCAACCTAAACTTTTGCCCTTTATTCTATAGTAGTATCTAAATCTGATATCGATCATGGAGCGGGACCAATACAGGATTTTCAAGACCAAAGCCAATATTTGGCAATTTAAAAAATCTGACAAATCCTTGCTAATATAATTCGAGATGGCACGATACCACTTTTTTATGTCCGATACCGATATCATAAATTTGGATATCTGCCGATACCGATATGAATCCGATATAATGTTTTTTAATCAACAAAACTGTTTTTTAATATCTTGCTGCATTTTGTATAAGTTCATACTCAAGTTTAAAACAACAACTACACTAAAGCTATTCTGTTATACCTGTATGCAAAAAAAAATATTTCATAGTTCAGCAATACTGATCAATCTAATAAACATAAACCTACACCATCCTCCCTATTCTGGTATTTTAAAGAGTACTTAGCATAAATATTAAGCAACCTAACTAATAGGGTTCCAACTCCCAGCAACAACAAAAATAAATAAATAAAAAATAGGGAACCACCCCTCACGCTCCACCTCATGATGCTTAATCAACGTAATCAACCTTAATTTGATGCAGTGTGAAAAAAAATGCACAGAAATCAATTATTTCTCAAGAAATATTAAATAGATTCAACATCTTTCTTCAACAAAATTGCAGACAGCACAGATGGTACCTTCCCAAAGGAAAAAGTACTATAGCTTACTAGGGTATATATATTAGACTTAATAGTTACTATATGCAGTAATGGACTTCTATTCATTTTGCATCAAATTAAAACTTTGTGTGTCAGATAATTATTTATTAAAAGCTAGACATTTTAAATGAGAATAAGAAAGAAAAGTATGTCTTTGTGCCCCCTTTTCCCTGTTCATGCCCTATTGGCCCCCCTGGCTAAACTTTGCTAGATCCGCCCCTGCACAGTTACCAGCCGTCAGCTACGTAGAAAAAGATCCTCGAGTAGAAAGTAATATTAAAT